CAGCTTTCAGGGGTGAGCCCCATGGCCCTGGAAGAGGAAGAAGGCAAGTGTGTTTGAGCTGAATGGTCAAAAATGCATTCACATGGCCTCATGTGGAAGCACCTGTCCATGTTTCATATGCACCGACCACCATGAAATTCACTTAGCATTTACACATTGTTTTAATTTACAGTACACAGACCTCTGGAGAATTCTTGGCTGTTCACTGCATATTTATCAAATGGAAAAGCACATGAGTGCATTAATACTGGGTTGGCCCGAAAGTCTGTTTGGGTCTTTCTGCAAGCTCTTAGGGGAAAACCCAAGTGAACTTTCTGGCCAACCCGACACTGAAGGGGAGCCTCTGTTTGCAGCTGCGCTGGGTGGGAAAGGCTCTTCTTGTCCGTAGCATCCTGGAAAGGACTGAGTCCTGGGGGAGGGCTTGGGAGGAGGAGCCTCCCAAGGACCAGGCTGTCTGCTCACCCCGCTGGTCCTGGCCCTGCCTCATCCTGGACTCACTTGTTAGGACCTGAGGCTCCCGCTTCCCTCCTCCGGGTCTTTCCTGGAGGACAGTGTCAGCCCACAGAGATGCTGCGAAAGAGGAGAAATCGAGAGAGGGTGAAGGGGAGTCCAGGTGTACCCCACTTCTCTAGTTTGCTCTATATTCAAGAATCAATCTCTCAGCTTTGTCTATGCAGATGGCTCTTTACATTCTCACTAAATTCACAGAAAGTTCCTAGTTTGCAAAATCATGTACATTCTCATGCATTATATGTGCAATAAAGAATAAATGTACTTGCTTTATGGGTGCAGTAGTTGTATTTCAGCCGTGAAAGCTCTTTCTCAGCTGTGGCGAAGAAACATCTAAGAACTAATGTCAGAAAAAAAAAAAGAAGGAATTGTGTCCTTTGTTTTAAACTGAGTGTTTGAAACACATGAAGTACTGAAAATCGCTGTATTTTAAAATAAATCACGGTGTGATTGAATCGTTGCTAATCTAGAAGAGGATAAATTTTGAGCGGCTCCCTGCCGCTGACTCTGTTTAGTTTTAGGATTTACTGCCTTTTATTATCCTTAGAGTATGAAGTCTGAATAAATCCCCTCCAGACCTGAGCCCTCTGCCTTCTAGGTTATTTTGCTCCCTTATAATTGCTCTTAGAAGAAAGATAAATAAATCAGACGTTTTCTGCTGTATGGGACACATGTTTCATTGCAGAATCCGGGTGCTGGACGCAGCGGGAGCTGTGTGTCCGCAGTGCCCAGCACGGTGTTGACCCGCGGGCTCCAGATCGGTGTGGTCCAGAGAACTCATCACTCAGCCCAGCTGCACAGCCACAGTGAGGGAGGGACCCGGCGGGGCTGGAGGAGGGAGGGGCGGTTCGGCATTCACTCATCGGACAGGATGCAGGGCATCCCAGGCCAGCACACCTCGACCTTGGCCCTCAGGACGAATGGCTTGCCTTGCAGAGGCAGCTGGGAGAACGGCTGGCCCTCCACCTGCCCACCGGCTCCATGGTGGCTGCCTTTCACGACAATTCCTCTTTTCATCCTAGAAAAATGATGCCTGTCCTGGCCCATTTCTTTTAATGGAAGCTCCTTAATAGCCCTGAAACAAATGACTGTTTTGTGAGCAGCCAGCTCTGAGGGACTCTCTCTAGGAAATAAAACCGAGTGATGGGAGGGATCTGTGGTCCTTACCAGCCCCACTGCAAGATGAGATCTGGGTAAGGAGGGGGCTGGGACTTAGAAGTGGGAGCCTCTGGGAGACGAAATAGTTAGACCCTCAGTCTGATCATAACACCCACGGGTAAACAAGAAAAACACGACATGAGGACATTTTGCAGTGGATTATCTTTTACTATTATGACAGTGGTGGTTTTGTCGCTAAGTTGTGTCTGACCCTTGCAACTTCATGGGCTGTGGCCCACCAGGCTCCTCTGTCTATGGAATTCTCCAGGCAAGAAAACTGGAGTGGGTTGCCATTTCCTCTCCAGGGGTGAAAATGCATACTTAATGACAAGTAGATAAACCGCTGATGAGAAAAACTGAAGAGTGCCACTCCCATTACAGTGTGATATTGAAGTGCTGCCTAAAGTCATTTTATAAAGGAAAAAGTGTTTGAAGTTTAATTTTATAAAAGTCAACACCATTCAAACCAGCATGATTATTTGCTGGATTTTAGCTTTTTGTTTCCTCAGGAGTGCCAAATGAAAAAGAGAGATTATGTGTTCACATTTCAGGGGCTTCCTGGGTGGCTCAGTGGTGAATAATCCGCCTGTGCTGCAGGAGACACGGATTCCATTCCTGGGTTGGGAAGATCCCCTGGCGGAGGACATGGCAACCCACTCCAGTATTCTTACCTGGGAAATCCCATGGACAGAGGAGCCTGGTGGGCTACAGTCCATGGGGTCACAAATGAGTCGGACATGACTTAGTGACTAAACAACAACAAGAACATATTCACACTTAGCTTGTATGAACTGCTGGGCTGCTCAAAGCCATCTGTGCAAACTTTTCCATGAAGGGGGAGATCTCAGAGATTTTATCCTCCACAAAAAGTGACTTTAGAGGCCTCTTATCCTTGGGGCAAGGAGGCACTCTGTAGGTCAGTGTTCACACCATCGGCTTCTGCATGGAGATTCTCACTCCATATCAGCAGGTATGACTTGAACCATCTCTCACATTTACCGCACAAGCTGAGGAACTACGTGTTTCCACTTAAATGGAGTTTCTCAGGCGAGCTGGAATCGTTTTAGGCCGGGGTTTCTTGTTGAGGTTGCTGACCTCACTTAACTCCGAGGAGCACAGTTGGTGGCCATGCAATCATCTCCCCGGCTGAGGAGACAGACCCACCGGCTCTTTGTCACAACGAGTGTTTCACAGGGCGTTACGGAGGTGGTGGGAGGCAGACGGGGGATATTTATGAAGCGTCTTGATTGACTCTTTGCATTTATTTTCAAGTGGCAACTCCAGCTACCTACTGAGACAGATTGCTATTTATGGGAAAGCCTTATTTTTGGAATTTTCATTTTTTTCCTAAAAGGGTAGGATACTGTAGCGCCTTTTTTTTTTGGTTGCTCTTGTTCCTTGAGAACTTTGTCAATATGATGAAGGTTTGACAGAGGGGCAGGTTTCAGCCAGGACTCTAGTGTGTCGTTAGATCTGGGAATTAGAAGGCATCCTGGACTCAGCCATCCCGACAGTCGTCATTTTAGAGATGGAAAAGATGAAGTGCAGGAAAGGGCCCCCCTGCACTGCTGGGCAGATGGAGAAGGGGAGACGATGCTTCCCAACCCTGGGCCACTCTGACTCTCACACCCTCCTTTCCCAAATCTTAGCCTGGTCCTTCCCCACCGGCCTCCTCCCCTGCTGCCTCCTTCAAACTCTTTTAATGTTGCTGAAGCCTGGGCCAAGCTTCTTCAACTGGTCCTAAGGACCTCTGGGGACCCCCAGCATTTGCTTCAGATGCTCAGATGCACCACAAAAGTCCTAATGTGTGAAGTGTCCATCGGGGTTGTCAGTGGCGCACTTCTCAGGAGTAAGGGTCTACAGCATCCATTATATTCCCTCAAGGTAATCTGTGATGTTAAAAACATAGCCACTTCCATTAGGAAGTTTCCTGAAGTAGGGGGAGGTTGACGAACTCTTTCATGTTCTCAGGTAGCTTTTTACTGACGCTGATGGTGGCTCTCTGCTGCGGTCTCTGGTTCTCTGCGGTTCTGGTGAAACAGCTGAGTGTGTTATCTCTTGTCATGTAGTCTTGAGTTTGTTGTTGTTCAATTGCTCAGTCATGTCTGACTCTTTCTGAGCTCATGAACCGCAGCACGCCAGGCCTCCCTGTCCTTCACTATCTCCCAGAGCTACTCAAACTCATGTCCATCGAGTTGGTGATGCCATCCAACCATCTCATCCTCTGTTGCCCCCTTCTCCTCCTGCCCTCAATCTTGCCCAGCGTCAGGGTCTTTTCCAATGAGCTGGTTCTTCCCATCAGGTGGCCAGAGTGCTGGAGCCTAGAGTTTAATAGATCTCTGTCAGTCTCATCCCCAGTTTGTCCCCTGGAGACAGTGTACCTCACCTGATATTGAAGCATCCTTAGGAAAGGATGCCACTGTCTCTTGGGTGAGCCCCAAAATGGAATGTCCTGGAGGAGGTGGCTCACGGGACCAACATGCCTGACACCTTCAATCACCGAATGTGTAGGAGGCTCACTGTCAAACTGGTCCAAAAGCACATAGGAGCCTTGCTTTAACGGAACCTGGCATTTGCCCTAAGAAAGGACGTTGCAGGCAGAGCCTCACTCATGCCCTGCAGAGCGTGACCACATGGGCACCACTGCTGAATGGCTCCCTCACGTGAGATGTGACATCACTTCCCAGCTGCCGGGTTTATGGTTCCCTTCAGATATTTCTGGCTTGGATTCAAATGGATGAATCAGAAACATGTAGCTTTTGGTCTTGGCATCAGTTTCTTTACCATCTCAAAATTATCTCCAAATTTTTTTAAATCTTATTTTCTCCAGAATTTAGATATAAATTGTGTCCTTCTTTTTTATAATCTGTACAGGCATCTTAGGGGCTACAAAGGAGTGGATGAAATTCCAAATATCTCTTTTCAAAAGTGCCGTGGACTCATTCCAACCAACCACTGACAAGGATTCGAGACCCTCCTGTGTATCAGGATTGCACTGATGAAGACGAGGTTGGCTTTTAGATAGCGAGAGGGATAGTAAACCTGTGTGTGTGCATGTGTGTTCCGTTGTGTCTGATTCTTTGCAACCCCATGGACTGTAGCCCGTCAGGCTCCTCTGTCCTTGGAATTTTCCAGGCAAGACTACTAGAACGGTTTGCCATTCCCTTCTCTGGGGGATCTTACAGACTCAGGCATCAAACCTGTGTCTCTTGTGTCTCCTGCATTGGCAGGTGGATTCTTTACCACTGGTGTCACCTGGGAAGCCCTAGTAAGCATGTAAAACACATAAATAAGTAGAAATATGTAAATATGATAATGCTTGATAATGGTAGGTATGCACCAGTCCTCGTTAGCAAACAGCACAATCCGTCAAGTGAAACAGAGAAGGACCGTGCCTGGCTGCTCCGAATCCGCTGGACGACGGGCGGGGGTCGGGCGGGAGCAGGGCTCCATGTGGCCTCTCGCTGCCCTGGACGAGCGAGTCCATGTAGCCCCCTCCTGCCCCCTGGCGTTGGCCCTGCTGAGGTCAGGGGTGGAAGTTCCGGCTCCTGGGGGGCAGGAGAGAGAGAACTGTTCTGTCTCCCACCCTCAGCGTCATAGCTGATGTCTTGAGTTTCCCCCAAAGTAGGAAGGGTATTGGGAGATGCCAAGTGATTTCTCAGACAGCGGTTTGGGGAGTTTCAGAGTGTTCAGGAGAGGGCCCATCCCTAGGATGGGTAAAGTTTGAGCTCAAGTTCAGGTGGTGGGAGGATGCAGCCAGCTGAGCCTGGAGAGAACCTTCTGGCCTGCAAAGTCCAGACACGGAAAGGAGCAGGTGGGAAGAGAGATGGGGAAGGAGCAGAGCTGGGGTCTGGGACGAGGGTCTAAGCAAGGAAGAGGCGGGGTGAGGGGTGAAGTCAGAGACTGCGGTGTCTTATCACGGGGGACTTGCAGATTCCTGCATGAGGCTTCGCTTTCCCTGTGTTTGTGGTGGAAACTGTTGGAGGTTTAGATGTCACTCACTCTGTGAGGGGAGCGCTAACCAGAAGCGCTATCACCCTGATCGCGGGGAGACAGGCTGTGGCAGCTGCCCGCGTGACTGCGGGTGGCAACTTGGAAAGAGAGTAGATGAGAAAGCGCGGTTTGAGTGTGGGGGGAGGAAGCCCGCAGGGGCTGCGGTGGCTGTGCGGGGTTGGGGGGGGGGATCAGTAGCTCATTTTCAGCCATGCTGGATTTAAAAAGACTGTTAGCATCTCAGGTGGGAATGTTGAGGATGCAGATGGATGTATGAATCCGGAGCCCAGGGAAGAAGCTTGGAGATTCAGATTGGAGAACCCTCATTTGAAAATGGTGCTTCAAGCCACAAAACAGGACATCACCGAAGAGTGTAGCCGGAGCCAAGTGGGGAGGAACATGCCAGGGGAGGAGGGTCTCCTGTCCTGAGAAGGACGGGGCAGACGGGAGGGTTCACAGTTGAGTTCACAGTCACGTGGTGTGCTGCTAGCTGCATGACATTTTTAAAATAAGGAATTTGATGAGATTTGCATTATTTCAAATAGGCACTGCAGAAGCGTTTTGAATTTTTTATTATCACGAAGTTATTTCCCTCCATGAATATTATTTATTTATATTTATATTACATTTGCTTCCCAAGAGCGCTTGAGGCATTTTGATATAAAGTGATATTTGAGAAAAACCATTAAACTAGAAAATCAAAGTGATAAGGAGAGCAGAGGAAGCTAAATGCTGTGTGTGCTTGTGCGCTGTACCTGGTCACCGCAGCTGAGTATCGCATTAACTCAGTCTCCCAGCAGCCAACATCAAAAGGAACACACTATGTTATATGACTGTCTTTAGCTGATATGAAGAAATGCTTGGATGTAAGGGAGACAAATTTTCTTCCCAAATACTAAGGAATAAGTTTCTCCTGTGTCATCCCCTACATAGTGATGGACAGCATCCCTATGAAACAACAGTGCCATCGTATTTTATTCTTACAGAAGTCTTTGGAGGTGGATCCTACTATTTCCCCATTTTATAGATGAGGAAACTGAGTCTGGGAGGGGGTAAGTACATTGCTCAGGATCACATGGCTAAGAGGAGGTAGAGCTTGGATTTGAACTTAGTTCGGTCTGAGGCCAGTCTCTGAATACTCAAGGTCCGGGCCATACCATCACCGGGCTGTGTCATCACCATGCTGGTTTGCTTTTGGCTGCATTAGGTCTTAGCTGTGGCTCATGGGTTTAGATGCCTGGAGGCATGTAGTATTTTAGTTCCCAGACCAGGGGTCAAACCTGAGTCCCTGCACCGTAAAGTGGATTCTTAACCACTAGACCACCAGGAAAGTCCCCCATTTCTGTCCTACTCATCCACTGCTTTATTTCCATGATAGTATTTCTTTAAATATTGCTCCAAACACTTCTAAAAATATTTTGCATGTTACCATACACATTTTACATATTTCCATGTGCTAATCATTAATAAGATAATTTATTTTTCATGTACAAAATCTGTCCAAGAACAGAAGACAGTGCTTTATCCCAGCTCATTTATCCCCACTTTTGGGAACCATTTAACCTTTTCCACAGGGCTTAGGAAATGTTTTGAAAATACTGTATGTTTTAATGGGCCAAATATTAGAAAATATCATAGGGTTTATCTTATGATCCAGCACTGTGATTTCTCTTGGGTTTGGCTCTAGGTGTGAAAGCCAAGACTGTGTTTTATTTCTGAGCTTCACTGGTGTTTTATGCCAGCTGTAATAGAATTTAGTGCTGTGTCCTTTTCCCAGAATCTTAATAAACAACCGGGAGCAAGTTGCACCTCATGAGCGGTTAGTACGTCCTGACTCAGCAGAAGCGCCTCCATCTTTTTGGAAAGGCAAGCATTCGGCTGTCCCACAAGCTGGTGATGTTGCAGATAATTCAGAGTCGGGAGTGGAGCTGGGTCCTCGGCATCAGGGAGCAGCGAGGCGATAACTCTGACAGCCTCTTGAAGACGTGTACATCTTCAGCCAATATCTTAACATCTCCCAGCTTAGTTTCATCAGTGAATCCCATGATTGCAGTTCGGTGGGTTAGGCCTCGGTATCTAGTAGTTTCTAGAATATCTAATGTGATAATGTTAACATGATGTACCTTTGAGAGAGCATCCAAAGTCCTGCGTGTCCCCACACATCTCTGCCCAGCGTGCCAGCTGCAAGGACTGTCTGGCTCCATTTCTGGAGCTGGTCACCCAGGAGGTGGAGGCGACCCCAGCATCACCCCCATGCCACCGCTTGGGGACGATCTGCCCTGGACCCCCACACCCCTCATGGTTATGAAATAGCTGCACTTTCTCTGCTGTCACATCCACATCCCAGACAGGAAAAGAAGATGAAAAAGACAAAGAAGGAGGAAGAGGAAAGGAGAGGTGGAGTAAGAGGAAACAAAGAGTGTCTATTTCAGGAGAAAAATCAGAAACATGCAGCACATCTCTGCCTGTTGGCTAGAACTGATCATGTGAAGTATTCGGAGCATCTAGTTACACTGAATAAAAGTAGGGTTTTGCCCGTAAGAAAAGAGAGACTAAGTACTGAGTAATTTGTCCTTAGCATCTTCAAAAATGCTAGTGTTTATGTAACTTTAAGAACTACCCTTTAATAGACATAATCATTTCCTTTCTGTAGATGTAAAATAAAGGGGCTCAGCTGCTCAAGGTCACACTGCTGGTAAACTGGAAGCTAAGTCTGAAGGACAGTCTTTCTAGCTCCATCCTGTCGTTGCTAATGATATTGTACCACTGCCAATGACCCTAGGCTCTTCCGAACGAGTCTAGCAACAATGATTTTTTTCCAACACTGTTGCCCTGGTCTGCTCAGGCTGCTGTAACAAAATACTGTGGACTGTGGTTAAACAGCAGGAATTTATTTCTCACTGTTTGAGGGGTTGGAAGTTGACTGGGCTGCCAGCATGGCTGGGTTCTGGCCAGAGATCCCTCTTCCTGGCCTTCTTGCTGGGTCCTCATAAGGCACTTGGGGTGAGGTTGCAGGCAGGAGGTGGAGGGAGAGAGTTGTGGAAAAGAAGCTTCTGGTCTCTTATAAGGGCACAGATCTCATCATGGGGATGCTACTGTCATGAGCTAGTCTAAACCTAATTGTCTCTCCTAATACCATCACGGGCTTCCCCAGTGGCTCAAGCCGTAAAGACTCTGTTGCCAATGCAGGAGACCCAAGAGACTTGAGTTCGATCCCTGGGTCAAGAAGATCCCCTGGAGAAGGGAAAGGCAACCCACTCCAGTATTCTTGCCTGGAGAATCCCATGGACAGAGGAGTCTGTTGGGCTACAGCCCATGGGGTCACAAAGAGTTGGACATGACTGAGTGACTGAACACACACACCATATCATCACTTTAGTGGTTAGGGTTTCAAAGTACGGATTTTGGGGGAACACAACCGTTCAGGTCAAAACAACACCATTTTTTTTTTTTTAAACAGCTTAAGACACAAGAGCTTTATTGAAACACACACACAGATATACACATGCAGGGAGGGGGAGATGTTAGGTCAGATACTTAATATCTTTAAAGTAGTTTTATTATAATTTCAGTTATTCACATCTTCTTTAGCATTTGGTTAAAAATATTTGTCATTCTGATTAGCATCCAGTGCTATTTCACTGTTTTGATTTCCATTTTTCATGTTATTAGAATGTGATCATCACTGTGTATCTTAGCAATTTGTTTCTTTTCTTTTTAACACACCCTACTCATTATATTCTAATGGGTTTATTGTATTTATCTTAAAGACTTGCAAATGTTCTATATCCATAGCAACCACTCTTGATGTGATATTAATCCAGGTACTATGGATGGATGTATTTGATGCCTTTTGGCATGAAGACTTTTATACTCCTACAGACATGGTAAGATACAACCACATGAGAAGGTGTTTCTTAATTACCTGAGAAGTCACGTTATCAGAGTTTAGAGAAAAGACTGTCTGGGTTGGTCTGGGAAGGGTTCAGAGAAGTGGGATTTGATCTGGACCTTGGAGAATGGTCTTCATAGAAGAACAGGGAGAAGCATTTAAGGTGCAAGGAATTGTGTCTTGGTAGAAATGATGATATGTCCTTTCTTAGGACAAATCCTGAGAAATAATACTGGGGAGATTAATTATACTTCTAATGCATCCTGACACAAATAGAGACAGATGATTTTAATAAGCAAGCTGTTGGTACATTTACTGGTTAGGAATGTGGATGAATGTGAATTTATAGCCATCTCATCTCATCTCATCTCATCTATAAATAGAAGCTCATTCTGTGGGTGGAATGGAGGGTGCAGAGCCCCATGAGGGTAGGGGCCATGTGCTCGGTGTGGTGGTTAATCTGCTTCCGGGTCATCTGGCATGTTACATTCTGGAACCTCAGTCTACTGGGGAACCAAAGTCAAGAGCATCCAGCTTCAGAACCCACAACACACACAAAATGCCTTTTTAGTAGCAGCTGATTCTTAATTTTTTTTTCTGCTCTTCTTGTATTAACAGTCATTGCTCTGTTAAATGGGCAAACGCCCTGCTCCACTGGCTGGAGCTGATGGGCTTGGGGTGGCTGCCTGGGCCAGAAGGGCACCTGGCGACCATGTGGTGGCACCTGGCACCCTGCCTAGAGTTTCGGATCCAGCGCAGCTGGCTCAGTCCTCAGGGCTCCTGCCAGAAAGCAGGAGTCCCTCAGGCTGATGGGGAGAGTCCTGCTTTACTGCACATGCTCAGGTAGGTAGAGGGCGGCTAGCCTTTGACATTCTTGGTGCCAACAAGTTGGAAGGAGGACCACATGGTGCTGTGTTCACTGGGCTGTCCTCCCCCAGGGCCTGGTTCTGTTCCCTGGGGACCTGGAGGCTGTCCGAGGACCCTCCTGGTTGTCCTCGACCTCTGGGGGCAGGAGGTGCAGAGAGCGGAGTTGCGCTGAGAGGTCACATCATTGGCTGCAAGGGGGCTCCCCCTGTCCCTTTGAGCACTGAAAAGTGCAGCAGCCCCATCCTGTAATTCTCAGCGGAGTCCTCAGTCTGGGACCCCCTACCTCCTCCCCTGGGAATGACTCTATTATCAAAGGTCTAGACTCATTTCTGAAAGTGTCACCTGTATGGCCCTTCCCCTTCCAGCATCTCAGGGAATATGAAGCAGACAGGGAGGTGCCTGCACTCCTGGTAATATTAGACAAGGCTGGGTGCGATCCCTGTGTTGGGAAGATTCCTTGGAGAAGGGAAAGGCTACCCCTTCCAGTATTCTGGCCTGGAGAACTCCATGGACTAAGTGCATGGGGTCAAAAATAGTCAGACACAACTGAGCAACTTTCACTTCACTTCATTAGCAAGTTATAACCAAGGGGCGCTAGTGGTAAAGAACCTGCCTGCTAAAGCAAGAGATGTAAGAGATGCAGGTTCAGTCCTTGGATTAGGAAGATCCCCTGGAGAAGGGCATGGCAACCCACTCCAATATTCTTGCCTGGAGAATCCCACAGACAGAGGAGCCTGGCAGACTACAGTCCATAGGGTCACAAAGAGTGGGACATAACTGAAGCAATTTAGCACATTAAGAAGTTAAACTAACCAGAATCAAGAGTGTTAAGTCAGCAGATGGTATTTGGGGGCTGAACACCCCCACCTCTAACACCCCTAAGTGAAATGACTTTAGTTAAGGTTGAGGTCTTGCCATCCTGGCTCTTGGACCCTCCTCCACCCTCGACCCTTTGACCCCGCCAGGCCCTGGGCTCCTGACTCACTTTCAGCTCTGCCCTCAGCCCATCTGCCACCAAGGGCTCCCTGTCCCTCCGTGTCCACCACCATGCGCTGGCCTCTGGGCAGCTCAGACCACCACACTCATGGCCAGGAGCACCTTGAGGTCACATGTGGGACAGTCAGGGGTCCCCCCCCTTTGCATCACCACCTCTTTTCCTTTTTACGGAAGGTGGCAGATGGCCGGTGCTCACGGGCTTTCTCTGTTGTTGTTCTTCAGTCACTCGGTCATGTCCAGCTCTTTGCAACCCCTTGGACCGCAGCATGCCAGGCTTCCCTATTAGTGAAGGACACCAGTCCTTCACTATTTCCCAGAGTTTGCTCAAACTCATGTCCATCGAGTCGGTGATGCCATCCAGTCATCTCATCCTCTGTGGTCCCCCTCTTCTCTTACTCAGTCTTTCCCAGCATCAAGGTCTTTTCCAGTGAGTCAGTTCTTTGCATCAGGTGTTCAAAGTATTGGAGCTCCGGCTTCAGCAGCAGTCCTTTCAAAGAATATTCAGATTGATTTATTGAATAGGATTGAGTGGTTTGATGTCCTTGCTGTCCAAGGGACTCTCAAGAGTCTTCTGTGATGCCACAGTTCAAGAGTCAGTCCTTCAGGGCTCAGCCTACTTTCTGGTCCAGAGAAGACTCCACTTCTCAGCCTGTGATTGGTTGGGACACTGGGGTCTCCCCATTAGAGACACTCAAGAGCTTGTCTGGGTTTTCTAGGTTCTTTCTTTTCCCTGTTGTAACTATGCAAATGTCTGTTAGCTGAGAGAAATTCAGCTGTGTCCCTCAGTAGCCATGTGGAGGGACGTCCTGGGCTGCTCAGCATTGTGTGGGTGAGAAACTCTTGTTTAATTTCTGAGATCTGGGCTTTGTACCCAATGCAGAGTCTATTCTGACTACTTCTGGAAGCTGTTCACAATGTTTTCCCGGGTGACATCTAGATGAACGCTCTTGTACTCCCTTGGGGGACAGTAGCAAGATCAACATGCACTCTGCTCTTGGTAACGTGTTGTCAGAAGATGCTGCGAAGTCATCCCAGGAAGAAGAGATGGCCCAGAAATAGTCATTTGTAAATGAAAAAAGAATGGACTTGGGTAAACGGGAAAGGATTAACCTTTTAATTAAGATATTAAGAAGAGGTGGCAAGAATACACAGAAGAACTATACAAAAGAGACCTTAATGACCCAGATAACCATGATGGTGTGATCACTCACCTAGAGCCAGACATTCTGGAATGTGAAGTCAAGTGGGCCTTAGGAAGCGTCACTATGAACAAAGCTAGTGGTAGTGATGGAATTCCAGTTGAGCTATTTCAAATCTAAGAGATGATGCTCTGAAAGTGCTACACTCCATATGCCAGCAAATTTGGAAAACTCAGCAGTGGCCACAGGACTGGAAAAGGTCATTCCAATCCCAAGGAAAGGGAATGCCAAAGAGTGTTCAAACTACCATACAACTGCACTCATCTCACATGCTAGCAAAGTAATGCTCAAAATTCTCCAAGCCAGGTTTCAACAGTACATGAACCGTGAGCTTCCAGATGTTCAAGCTGGATTTAGAAAAGGCAGAGGAACAAGAGACCAAACTGCAAACATCCGTTAGATCATTAAAAAAGCCAGAGAGTTCCAGAAAAAGATCTACTTCTGCTTTATTGACTACGCCGAAGCCTTTGACTGTGTGGATCACAACAAACTGGAAAATTCTTCAAGAGATGGGAATACCAGACCATCTTACCTGCTTCCTGAGAAATCTGTATGCAGGTCAGGTCAAGAAGCAACAGTTAGAACCGGGCATGGAACAACAGACTTTCTAAATCAGGAAAGGAGTATGTCAAGGCTGTATATTGTCACCCTGCTTATTTAACTTATATGCAGAGTATATCATGCTCTGGGCTGGGTGAGGAGACACAAGCTGGAATCAAGAATGCAGGGAGAAATATCAATAACCTCAGATACGCAGATAACACCACCCTTATGGCAGAAATCAAAGAACTAAAGAGCTTCTTGATGAAAATGAAACAGAAGAGTAAAAATGTTGGCTTAAAACTCAACATTCAAAAAAACTAGGTTCATGGCATTCAGTCCCATCACTTCATGGCAAATAGATGGGGAAACAGTGGAAACAGTGAGAAACTTTATTGTTTTTTTGGTCTCCAAAATCATTGCAGATGGTGATTGCAGCCATGAAAATAAAAGACGCTTGCTCCTTGGAAGAAAAGCTATGACCCAGCTAGAGAGCATATTAAAAAGCAGAGACATTACTTTGCCCACAAAGGTCCATCTAGACAAAGCTATGGTTTTTCCAGTAGTCATGTATGGATGTAAGAGTTGGACTATAAAGAAAGCTGAGTGCCAAAGAATTGAAGCCTTTGAACTGTGATGTTGGAAAAGACTCTCGAGAATCCCCTGGACTGCAAGGAGATCCAACCAGGCCATCCTGAGGGAAATCAGTCCTGAATATTCATTGGAAGAAATGATGCTGAAGCTGAAACTCCAGTACTTTGGCCACTTGATGCGAAGAACTGACTCATTTGAAAAGACCCTGATGCTGGGAAAGATTGAAGGCAGGAGGAGAAGGGGACGACAGAGGATGAGATGGTTGGATGGCATCACAGACTCAATGGACATGAGTTTGAGCAAGCTCCGGGACTTGGTGATGGACAGGGAGCCCTGGCGTGCTACAGTCCATGGGGTGGTAAAGAGTCGGACAGGTCTGAGCGACTGAACTGAACTGAACTGAACTGTGCCTGGAATGCTTCTTATATGAGAAAGAAAAAGAATTGAAACCTACAGATTCAGAGACCAATCACTCAGTTGGGCCGAGAAGGATGAATGGGGTCCATGGAGATTCCAGGAACAGGGAACTTGACCCTCAGGGAGGGAGGGAGTGCCAGATGGGAACAGCACAGTGAGTCCTTGGAGACCCAGGTGGCTTCATGTATCCAGGGATGTATGGGGCCGAGTCCTACTCAAAGTCTCCTCACTAGATGCTCATCAGGCCCTCGAGTTGTGGGCTCCAGAACCTGTGCCCACTTTGTAAAGACCAAGCCTAGAAGTGTATGTGTTCACTGACCATTTAGGATAATTGGGTCCAGAGGGAGCCCTGGAGAGACCTTCTCAAGTCACCTGCTCACCCTTTCGTTCCATGCATGGGGAACGTGGAGCCGACTTCTTTGTGACTAGCAGGAGGTGACAAGCATGGAGATGGCGTCGGCCCCCCGGGTGGGCAGCTTTCCAAGCTAGACCCTTCCGACTTCTGAGTGTGGCTTCCCCACCCTTGAAGGTTGGCTTATTTATGGGGTTGAGGTGAGACTGGTTCAGTGTAGCAGCTTTGATGGGTTAAGGAGGCATGTAGGTTTTCTGACCCAGTGGAGGTTTTTGCCTTAGCTAAGCTCATCTGGATGTTCTTTTCTCCCTGATTTCAGAGTTTCATTCAGAACGTAGACTTTGTTTATGATTTGTTAGTCCTACAAACTGACTTTTGGGGCCAAATAATGATTATTTGCATTCTGGGCAAATGTCACTTGTTGACTGTGAAATGAGACAGCTGGGCTGAAATGATTGTAAAAGTTCAATGTTGTACAAAACAACTGCTCTTGGGCTTAACTTCAGCACCACAAAGTACGTTGATGGTAATCGCCTTGGCTCAACCCATAGGCCATGAATTAGTTACTAATCAACCTGCAATAAAGTAATATATACATGACAGTTAAAGTAACAGGAGAGACTCAGGAGTAAATATTTTATGTGACGAATTAACCCTGTGAGGTTCGCTCACGAACATTAATTCAAATCCTGAGGTTAAATTCCTGTGTGTTGTGAAGTCGTTGCTGAGTAATCACCTCAGGGCAGAGTAGTGATGCAGGGCTTGGGTTTGCATTTGCCAAGGTCTCTACCACCAGAAATGAGAGGTAACAGTAAAACCATCAACTTCGTTCTCCCTTCTGTTCTAAAGAGTAAGCAAATTGCCTCCCTTCTTCCACTCCAAACCTCCTCCCGAGGTGTCCAGTTAGCGGAACACCGGCTGCTCCCCATCGGCCTGGCAACCTTGGGGGGCAGGTTTGCCTGTGAACGTGAAGGTCCAGGAGAGCTAGTGCTGCAGGGAGAATAAAGTCCCTTCAAATGTCCCTGTCCTAACCCCCGGAACCTGCAGTTGCTACTTCGCACAGCAGAAGGCATTTTGCTGATATGATTAGTTTAAGGATTTGGAGATGAGGAGATTATCCTAGATTATTGGGGGTAGGGGAGCGTTGGCAGTATAATTACCAGGGTTCTGACAAGTGGAAAAGGGGGGCAGAAGAGGAGGCCAGGCTGACACCTGGTGAGAAGGACGCTACCTGCAGATGCTGACTGTGAAGACAGAGGACGGCGAGGAGGAGACAAGTGTTCCATGTTGTCGCTGAGTCTGTGAAATTCCTCTGAGGACCTCAAGCCCTTTATCGTTACAGTCATAGCCCCCAGGTTCCTGGGAAAGAGGTGGGTAAGGCACTGAACAGGCCAGAAAGGAGCCGGGGAAGCAAAGTGCCCCCTTCCCTCGGCACTGAGGACTGAAAGCCAAGGCTGAGCATCACTCTGAGCCCATGGGCTGAGCCCATTTTGTCTTTTCATTCCCCTGGGGTGTCTGCGTTTGCAACATGACCCAGTTGTGGAGGATGCTTTGGAGAACGCTCTTGAGTCTCTGATCACTGGGAACACTGGGCCTGGAGGAATTTTATGAACTCAGAGGAATGACCAATTCAACTGAAATGATGGCAGGAGTGTTTTTAAAGGACATGATACCGTGTGCATCCAGTCTCCCATGCCAACACCAGCCACTCAGCTTGTCCATAGCAGACCCTCAGCAGGTCCATGAGAGCAAAGTTCAAGTTCATCTGAAAATTTAGCTCGATCCATTGACTTAAGGGGGTGTCCCCGATGGCTCACCAGGTAAAGAATCTGTCTGCAAAGCAGGAGATACAGGATACTTGGGTTGGATCCCTTGGTTGGGAAGATCCCCTTAAGGGCATGGCATCCCACTCCAGTATTCTTGCCTGGAGAATCCCACAGACAGAGGAGCCTGGTGGGCTACAGCCCCTGGGGTCTCAACAGAGTCAGACACGACTGAGCACACTGCTTTAAGGCCGTGGTTCCTCAGTGCACCATGCAATTCTTCAGGAGTCGCTGGTCTCTTCATCCTGCAGTTTGGAAAAGGGAGCTTTGCCACCAGCCCTTCCTCACATCTCAGTGAGTGAGTGCAGACGCCCCCTGCGCCTGCCTGGTTAAAAGCTCTCATTGCAGCTCCTCGCCTCTTCTTGCCATGAATTTAGCGCTCTCAATAAACTTTATCTTGCCTTTTATGTGGCTGCTCTTAAGTCTCTTCTGCTGTCACCAGAGACATCTTTTCAGTTGCTTTTACATCTTTTCTAATTACTCCCTGCTGTGGTGTGGGGTCTGGTGTCGGGATCTTTTCTGAAAGCTGGTGATTCTCCTCTGCACCCTCTGGTGACATTGTGCTGGGATGTCCGTTAAGAGAGAGTCTCTGGGCAAAACTTCACGTGTCCTTCCTGCCCTGTCTCCTGGGCTCCTGTTCTCCACACACCTGAGGGCACAAACCTCTATCTTAGAAATATGCTTCAGCTCCTGGTGAAACCTAAACTGACATCTATGCCATTGTTCACCGGGCACTTTGAAGTCTGCTTCCTGTCCACGTATTCCGACGGCTTAGCTGGAAAGCTGTGTGTTCTCACATGGACTTCACATTCTTTGTCAGGAGGGCCTGCAACTTACACTTAAGATGCTTCCAACTCCTGGTACCGTGATGGGTGCTGGGGACTCAGTCTACAGACACAGGACTGAGCATCAGCACCCCTGCTGTGGCTGTGTCTCCTCTTAGGGATTCACTGTGTGATGTTTTAAAATTTTATTTATTTATTTATTTATTTTTGGCTATGCCGAGTCTTTGTTGCCGCGAGCAGGCTTTCTCTAGTTGGGCCTAAGGGGGCTACTCTTCCTCGCGGTGTGTGGGCTTCTCATTGGAGCACAGGCTCGAGGCACACAGGCTTCCGTAGTTATGGCACGTGAGCTTTGTTGCCCCACGGCATGTGGAGTCTTCCCGGACCAGGGGTTGAACCCATGTTCTTTGCATTGGCAGGCAGATACCTAACCACTGGACCATCAGGGAAGTCCCTGCTGTGTGGTTAAAGGAGACAGCACATCCCCCAAAGAGGGTTCCCCGACTCCGCATCCTGCAAAGGGGCCACTGGCTGATCCAGTCTGACTGCCAACCATGGCACAAGTTACTCTACTTTAGAACTAGTTGGGTCTACTCCCGAATCTGAGCTCTTTGCATCAGGTCTTTAGACAGACCACTCAAGTGTCTTCAGGTAGTGTGAAGCCATACTTTGTCATTAACTGTGTAGTTCTTTCAGAGTGCACCCCAGAACGAAGCCGATTAGAGTAATCTACAAGGACAGTTAACTTTAATGTGGTCCTGGTGGTAAACGCATCTTTTTGAATCCAGTCACTTATAAACTACATAGCCACGGCTGTTTGAGGCAGCTTCGAGTCTGTGGTGTGTGTTTTTGTTCATTGTTCCCAGTGTCTCTACATGGCTTATGCTGGCCTGCAGCAGGTTATGTCACATTTTCTTATCTCAGAGTTTATATTGAAATTCCATATTTCACAAAGAGTATTATTGGTAGCTGTCCTGTAACACAAGTGCCCCAGGATCAAAGAGGCTTGTCGTATATTTCCTAGGGCCTCTTCTGCTCTAAAATGCATTGCCTGACTCGGCTGAATTGGGGGGAGCTGAGCTGCCTGGTGTTGGAGTAGCCGATGGAGACCACAAACCAAGTGAAAGTTACAGTTGACATTAATCTCTCACTGCCGTGGTATGAGCAAGAGGCTACCCCAGAGAAGGCACAGCCCCTGTTCTATTTTCCTCCATGAAGCATCACGCTGGTCATGGTTCAGGTGGATCAGCACAGATGTGGGGGTCCTCCCGTTGTAGAGGGAGCCCCAACTCTGGCAGTTTTATGCCTAGGACTGCGAGGGCCAGGGAGGGGCTGAGAGCAGAAGGTCCTGATGATGGAGTGAGTGTGCAGAAAGCCTCGAGTCTCCTCCTCCCCTCCTTTTAGAAGGTCACTCCTGGCCATTGGCCTGGGTCAGAATTGCAGCCTGTGACTTCGGGCTGCCCATGCCTGCAGTTGCTCAGCGTTCAGCCTTGAAGCTGTTCCTTAACTTCATTTCTAATTCTCTAGCTATTTCTGTTCCTGTAATGGCTAATGCCACAGTCGGAGGGCGAGACTTCTCTCCAGTGCAAAGGTATTTGGAGATGCTTGCTACAAAACATTTTTCTGCGGAATGCCTATGATTGCTTCTAATTGTTTCTTCCCTGAACTGCTGTAGCTGAAAAGGTTTTAAAAAATATATACTATTGGACTTCCCTGGTGGTACAGTGGATAAGAATCTGCCTGCCATACCAGTCGAAGTTCAATGCATGATACAGGGCATTCAAAGCCGGTGCACTGGGACAACCCAGAGGGATGGAATAGGGAGGGAAGTTTGGGACGGGGGGGACACATGTGCACCTGTGGCTGATTCATGTCAATGTATGGCAAAAACCACCACGATCAGTTCAGTTCAGTCACTCAGTCGTGTCCGACTCTTTGCAACCCCATGGACTGCAGCATGCAAGGCTTCCCTGTCCATCGCCAACTCCCGGAGCTTGCTCAAACTCATGCCCATCAAGTTGGTGATGCCATCCAACCGTCTCATCCTTTGTCGTCTCCTTCTTCTCCTGCCTTCAATCTTTCCCAGCATCAGGGTCTTTTCCAATGAGTCAGCTCTTCCCATCAGGTGGCCAAAATATTGGAGTTTCAGCTTCAGCATCAGTCCTTCCAATGAATACTCAGGATTGATTTCCTATAGGATGGACTTGTTGGCTCTTGCAGTCCAAGGGACTCTCCACGATATTGTAATTAGCCTCCAGTTAAAATAAATAAATTAATTTAAAAGAAAAAGGATCTGCCTGCCAATGCAGGGAACATGGGTTCGATCCTTGGTCCGGGAAGGCGCCACATGCCAAGCAGTCAAGCCCGTGTGCCACCTCCACCGAGCCTTGCGGGCCTTAGCGCCCGTGCTCTGCACGCAGAGGTCACCGCAGTGAGAAACCCGCACAGCGCGAAGTGGGTGCGCAGCGTGCGGCGGGCGCAGGCGCAGACAAGCCCGAGCGCAGCGGTGAGGGCGCGGCGCAGCCCAGGTAAATAAATAAGCATGTTGTTAAAATTAAAAAATAGACGTGCTGTCTTTATGTATATATCCAATGCTGGCTCTATACATGTGATAACTAGACGGACTCTCTCCCTCCAGCCAGGGTCGCGGCCAGTGTCCCTCACGGCACACACCCCTCCCCACACGGCCTGGGGCCTGCGGTAATGTAAGCTCTAGTGGCCGTATTTTCTCAGCTGAAACTTGGGACACACGGCCCTGCCAGGGTGACGGTACGTATGGATACACAGGACATAATATTTCTTTCCCAGAAAACCTGAGGCATATGGTCTCCATATGTACAGAATCTATGGCCTCTTGCGCGCCTGTTTGCTGATGAATTTCTCATCACATGAATATGTAACAATAGTAATGTGATTTTTATAGCCTTGCTGTCTGGGCCTTTCCATTTGGAAAAGATATTCATCATTTCTGTTTATGGCCAAATTAGTTCTCTCAATTTTGTGGCCAGCCTGACATGATAAGTCATGTATCTTGGTTTTGATGTTCTTCAGTGAGTATATTTTCTTACTTCTATTTAGGGATCTGTGCTCTGTCTAGGCAAAAAAAAAAAAAAAAAATGCTGTGTGTGTTCATTTGTTCTGAAAATGTCTGTGGAGGAGGCTGCTTGATGGGGAATCAGTGTGGGGAGTGATTTCAGGAGCATGTGGGGAGAAAGAACTAGAAAAGAGGATTAAAGTTTATGAAGTTCTCTCTCTGCTGGGGTCAGCAAACACGGGCATTCTGAAAGGCAGAAAAAGTGAGGAATGAAGGGAGGTTGAGAACATGGCAGGACAATGGAAACCATCATGGTGTGGAAGGTGTTTCCAGGCGTCCCCTCCTCAGCCTGCTCCCAGGTGGCTAACCGAGAAACCAAATAAATAGGTGACTTTCACCTACAGCAGAGCCAGGAGATGGGCAAACGCTGATGACACCTGGGAGGGTTAATGAAATGTGTTTGAGTTAAGAAATGAGCATAGTGAGCATTTATTAATATTCATAAAAATCCTGAAAGCAGTAACTGATGACATTCTGGTAGATACGATCACTCCAAAGTAAGCAAGAGGTGACATATTTGATTGGAATAATGAAAACAAGAAGTTCCTAAAAGAAAAATGATCTCTCAGAGCAGTTAAACTAAATTGGACGCGATGCAGCTTGTTAAGATGATGGGTGGAAGTGTGGTGATTGGCAGGCCTTGTCTGTTACATTGACCTTCAGACGGATGTGAGAGCCAAGCCTGAGGCACCAGAGTGATGGATGGGACAGGGAGCCCCTTAATATTTTTCTCTTCATTAGGGAGTTTTAAATGAAATATAAGCTCCATTTAAAAAATCCTTTGGTTTTTGGCAACAATTCTCTAGCATCTATTTCCAATTTAGTCTTATTTCCCCACCAGGAAAGTGAAAAGTGAAAGTGAAAGTCTCTCAGTCATGTCCGACTCTGTGACCCCGTGGACTATACAGTCCATGGAATTCTCCAGCCCAGAATATTGGAATGGGTAGCCTTTCCCTTCTCCAGGGATCTTCCTAACCCAGGGATCGAACCCAGGTCTCCAGCATTGCAGACGGATTCTTTACCAGCTGAATCACAAGGGAAGCCCAAGAATGCTGGAGTGGGTAGCCTTCCCTTCTCCAGGGGATCTTCCCAACCCAGGAATCGAACCTGGGTCTCCCACATTGCAGGCGGATTCTTTACCAGCTGAGCCACCAGGGAAGCCCATGCAGGCTACGTAGGTAATTTTTTTCTCCATCTCTTCCATTCTGTGCAGAGAAATGGTCACACCTTTCATAGACCTTTGGAGGTGTTTCCTGTTACCTCATGGCCTGGGGCGTGTCAGCTCAGTGAATGCCTAGGAGGGAGGCGCTGTCACAGCTCACGTGGTTCAGATGAGGACACTGAAGCTCAGGGAAGGTACGTAGCCAGTAAATGTGGACAGTAAATGTCAGTGGGGAAGCCCGCTCAGTCTGTCTCCACAGGTGACTCCCCTGAATTTTTGACTGAGGTGCAATTCAAGACAGGAAACTCCCTCCCAGACTCTCCTTCTTGATTTTATGTCCTCTTCACAGGACTGCAGCCATATTTAGTTGTGCTTTTAAAGCTGAGCTCCATCCCCCCCTTCATCCATCTATCCACTCATGGATCCTCCTTCTCTCTTTTCTTTCCATCTGTCCTTCCATTCATCCATCCATCCTCTCTCTAAACATTTTCAAAACCTAAAACATGGTTTATTAATACTAGGTATTACTAATACTAGGTGTACTAGGTAATACTAATAGAAGGTACCATGGTTAGTGCTGGAGCTGAGAAATAGTAGTTCCCGTGTAGACATATTTATACATAAATATATAAATTTGTATATAAATATTAACCTCTCTATAGTTACCTCTATACCAATCTATGCATGTATTTATCAAAGTAGACCAGTCAATATCTATCTATCTATCTATCTATCTATTTATCTATCATTGATCTATCTGTTTAGTGTCTGAATACACACATGCATTCAGACAAGTGGTAGGAAGCATGACAGAAGTTTTAACCAATTATTATGGCCATTCAGAAGACTGAGGTTATTAAATGATTGGAGAAGTGTGGGAGGGCAAAGCTTATGGAGGAGCTAACCTCTGGATCTGGAAGGGTAACCATGAACTTGGCAGGCAGATAAGTTGAGAAGACCACTGAAGTGGGACTCCTATGGGTGTGTGCATGTGTTGTGTACATCCAGGTGTGTGCATGTGTGATCATATGCATGTGTCACACATGTACCCACATGTGTGCACACACAGCGATGTCCCGGAGAATGTGTCAATGGGCCGAGTTTTGAAGCAGATTGGGATTTCGGATGTCTGAGAAAGCTGCAGGGGCAGGAGCCTGTGCTGGGGCCGACTGCCCAGTCAAGGCTGATGAAGCCCCGGATGGTCACGTGCAGCCTGGCGGGCCCCCAGCTGCAGACCCTGAGGTGTGCGACCCCTGCAGAGCTCCACCACAGCACGCGGCCCACCTCGGTGCCCCCCACCCCGTCCTCACAAGTGGCAGATGCCCTGGCCTCGGAGTCAGTGGTCCCCTAACCCGCTGACCCTCTCTCTCCTCACCTGTAAACTGGGATCGAGAAGCATGTGCCTTTGAAGCCGGTGGAGAAATGCCTCACAGTCTCTGGCTCCGGCGGGGCTGGCGTCCTCACTGAGTGGTGGGCACGTGGGCCCTGGCCCCGGCTGCCTGGCTGACTAGCTGTGTGACGCTGACTGAGACAAGTAACCTCTCTGGGCCTTGGCTGCCCCCAGGTGTGGGGAGGAAGACCCGTGCCCGGAGTGGCGTGGGTGAGGGAGCCGCCCATGCTGGTCCTTGGACTGTCGCCTGCCACCCAGCGAGCTGCCCCTGGCAGCAGGGCCTGGCTTCACAGCTGGCCTTGTGCACCAGTGGCCAGACCTCGAGGACCTTGCCCTGTGATCTTCTTGCTTCCAGTGGGATGATGTTTGAGTCTTTTTTCCCTCCTGGTTGCAGATAATTTCTGTGTATTTTATTTACATAGCACCTGTCAGTTGACTCTGGTGTGCTGAGACCAGTGAGCTTTTTTTTAGTTCCAAAACAGTATTTTTGTTCTAAGCCATGGAGAAGGTGAGATTGACTCTGACGGTGAGACCAGCGTGACTCCGCAGGCTCACGCTGGCCTGCCACCCTTGGGGATCCCTTGTCTGTCCAGCCTTGGGTGCCTTCCAAGTTCAAAGCCACCTGCGTTCCTATTGATCTCAGGAAAGGCACTCGAGGAGTGTCTCCCAGGAGAGGGGGCAGACCTGAGTCACTGTGTTCCCTGTGGTCGTTTCTCCAAGTGGCCGGGTCATGCTCCTGCCAGAGGTGACTGTCCCGGAACAAGATCTGGGTGTCTTCCTTCAAGAATGAATGCAGGGTCTCACTACCCAGAACCAAACCCGAGGAAGACAACTTATTACTTCTGCTTTTTAAAAAAAATTTAATCTTTATATATATATTTTTAACACCAAAGACATTTTGTATTGGGGTGTAGCCAATTAACAATCTTATGATAGTTTCAGATGAATAGTGAAGGGACCCAGACATACATATACATGTATCCATTCTCCCCCAAACCCCTCTCCCATCCATACTTCTGCTTTTAATAAAAACATATCTTTCAGAATCTGACCTCAGATGTAGCATTATTTCAGGACTTAAGAAAAAACTGGGGGCAGACCACACAACCCGGAATGAGTTACAATGGAATCTGATGCACAGAGTGCGATTAAATGGCTTGTGTAAGGCTTTAAAGTTAGAAGAGCTTTTCCTTTGATTACATAATTGTTTATCCACTGCATCCAGCATAAATATGAGCTGCCGCTCCATGACCTGGGGAGAGAAATCCAACTTGATCTCTTTTTATGCAGCATGTTCATTTTCACAGGGAGATTCAATTATTCCCTCACTTATGAGGCTATAAATGAGTTTGCTGGGCTGGTTCCTGACACCAGCACTCGCTCTCATCATTATTCAGATTAGTTTTCACTTTTCTAAACTGGTCTTCTGCCTACTGCTCTTGGAGCCTGGCCAGCACTGGGGAAGAGGATTAAATAATCCTTCCCTCACCACTTCCTACATGTTGTGCTATTTTGTTCTCTCCCAAATGTCATCCTCTGCTCACACGCACGTTTCCACGGGTGAGGCTCTCAGACGTCTCCGTGGCTGGTCGCCCTGTGGACGGCGGGGCTGGGAAAGGACCCGCCGAGCGGATGGTCCTCCGTACAGAGGCTGAGCTGGTGCCCTGAGCTGATCCCATCCCAGGAGCGCAGAAATTGCTGTTTGTCCACACACAGACCCATTTGCTCTGTTGGGAGCAGAGGCAGAGAGAATCAGTGGGAATAAATTCCAAGGCATGCCTGCTAAGTCAGTTGTGTCCGAGCTCTTTGTGACCCCATGGACTGTAGCCCGCCAGGCTCCTCTGTCCATGGGATTCTCAAGGCGAGAATACTGGAGTGGGTTGCCATATCCTTCTCCAGGGGATCTTCCTGACCCAGGGATCGAACCCCCATTTCTTATATCTACCTGCATTGGTGGGCAGGTTCACTAGCACCACTTGGGAAGCCCTAAATTCCAAGGACAGGAAGACAAAATAAGAGCCCCTGGCACAGTAAGTGGGTGGTTTGGCCAGCTGCTGGGGCCCTCGGACGTGACTGGTTCTGCGGGTTCTTCCTTCACTGTCATGATGGTCTTGCCTAGACATACTCAAGATTCCACCTTGAAGACGGGTCGGGGGGCAGGGGCCGCTGCTTCTTGAGTTTTAGGTGTGAGGTGTGATAAGCGCAAACTGTACCCTCCTACGTGGCTCAGCGGTAAAGAACCTGCCTGCCAATGCCGGCGATGCAGGCTTGATCCCTGAGTTGGGAAGATCCCCTGGAGGAGGAAATGGCAACCCTCTCCAGGATTCTTGCCACGGAAACCCCATAGACAGAGGAGCCAGGCGGGCTGCAGTGCACGGGGCTGCCAAGAGGACACGCAAAGAGGACACGAGGACACGGCTGAGCGACTCACACACACCCCGCTTCCTGCGTGCGGATCCTGGGGGGAGGGTTCAGTGCAAGGAGGAGGATGAGGGGGAGGAGTGTAAGGAGGGCGGCTGTGCACGAGCCTCTCTTTTCCACCCCGGGGACTCTTCTCACCTCCAGCATCTCCGTCTGGTTGGAGCGCCTCCAGGCAGAGTCCTGCCCCTCAGACACCTCCCGGGATCTCCAGCTGGCTCACTGCCAAGTCACATGGGCCGTGAACCAGCCTTGGTCCAGCACCTCCGTGGGAGTGTCTTCCTGCGGCTCTCCTCTCCTCACTGGCATTTTCCCTGTCTTTATCCAGAAGAGCTCTGCCCAGAGTCTGCCTTTCTTATTGCTCACCTGGTCCCCAGCTCGAGCTGCTCATCCTTGCTGGGAGAGCTCTGAGCTCTTTGCCTGGTGGAGCCCTGATCCGCCAGCTATACCCGAGTCTCTCTGGGTGATGCCCAGGCCAGCATGGGCTCAGGATGGGTCCTAGGTGGCCAGAGTCTTTGTGGGTGATGCCCAGGGAGGCGTGGGTTCAGGACAGGTCCCAGGTGTTGCATCCTGCAGCCTAGACTCTGAACAGGAGGCTAACCCCTGGCCTCTCTCATCCTGAGGATTCAAAGACTCCATGAATAGGTACAGACAGCCCCATGCAGAAGCTGCAAAACTCTGTGTAAAGGTGACAACAAATTTGTGACCACCGCCTGAGGGAGCCCCGAGGAAGCAGGCAGCAGGGCAGGGGTCGCCCAGCGGATGGGCATTCGGAGCGTGGGTGATGGACAGGGAGGCCTGGCATGCTGCAGTCTGTGGGGTTGCAAAGAGTTGGACACGACTGAGCGACTGAACTGAACTGAACAGGGGCCTTCCTCGGGGAGAGGCAGTGGGGTTAGGGAGCAGGTATGCGGGTGGAGTCAGGCGAGGTGACTGGGCGGAGCCTCGGTGGGAGAGAGGCATCCGGAGCAGGAGGGCCCCAGGCTGTGCCCATTCCAAGTGCCAGGCTCAGGCCTGCGTCCTCAGACCAGGGCCCGCAGAGGCGTCCCCGCTGGTGCCAGTGGCCAGTTCCACGTGCTAAAGTCCCACCCTTCATACAACGTGGCCACCCCAGCCATTTGTGACATCCCCAGACGTCTCCAGTCACTGGCAGAAGTCCCCCGGCTGCGGGCAAAGTGGCCCTGTTTAGGACACGACTCGAGTCCAGAGTTTTCTCCAGGAGTGAGATGCATCCCCTCGGGAGCGGTGGGGTGGTGCCCTGCCCCTGGGTCCTGGGGGAGAGCGGGAGTCTGTACCCCTGAGCAGACAGATACTGGATGGGCTTTCCTGCTGCTGCCCTCGGGGGACACACGGGGCGTGGTGCGGAGCCTTGCCCGAGGGTTTACACTGGGACTGTTTCCTCAGGAGACCCCGGGACTGGGGTGAACGCCCCAGCGAGCCTCACTGTAGTGTGGACCTTGGTGTATTCTGCACCCGGGGCTCTCGGTGAGTCAGCGCTGTGGTCCCAGAGCTGAAGGCGCCTTAGAGGAATGTGTATGACCGACACTGACTCTCCAAGTTGGAAGGACCTGTGGGAGTTTAGCCACTTTCACTGTCTGCAATTCCAGGGCACCGGGACCACCCTGACGTTCGCCTGATTAATGATTCGGGGACACACGCCTGTGAGTGCAGAGTGGGGAGGCTTGGGATGTAATTAAGCGCACATCTGTCTTGGACGTGTGCCCAGATGCTCTGCGGTGGGTGAATCCGAAAGTCAATACCAACAGCGGAAGGCGGATAGGGTAGCACTAACGAGCTCCATAATCATCGCTTGTGAGACAAAGGCCAGCTTCGCAGGATTCCCGGGGGTTGTGAGCATTTGGGATGCCAAGAAGCTAGTACGTGTGAATCTGTGGGGAACCGAGCCAGAGTCGCCTGCTGGGACCCTCGCCCAGTCACCCAGGCATGGGGTGCTGCTGAGCCGAGAGCCCAGGGAAGCGAGCAGATGCCCCAGGGAGAGGGAAGCAGGCCCGGCCTCCCCCCAGCTCAGTTCTGTTTCTTCTTCTCTGTGAGTCCCTGTTTCCTCTTCTCCAGTGAATTGCACATCCCTGATGGTTTTGGAGGTGAAATGTGCATGGAAAGCGCTTTGCAAGCTGTGCCGGGCTCCCCAGACAGCGGCCGCCGTGACTGCATCGACTGCTCCCGGGTCAGGTAGGAAGACGACAGCCGTTCTTCACGGAGGGCAGCCCTCCCTGGGACCCTGGGTGGGATCTGTCTACAAGCCAGGAGCCCCACGATGTTCTGGGAATAAGGGATGAGGTGTGGGTGCAGGGCCCTCCCCAGATGGAGAGGTTGGGAGGCGTGGGGGGCTCTGGAAGGGTCACAGAAACGTCACCGCCCATCCTGTGTTTGTGCCGCTATGCTGGGACCAGTCAGAGCAGGTGGGAAAGTGTCGGGGCGTGTGGGACTGGAGCCCACATGTGGGGTTTGCAGAAACTCCTGCGCCTCCGTGAGGTGCCCCGGGCCTCTGAGGGCCTCCACCAAGCGATTGCTCAGACCTGCGC